CTGCCTCCATTGGGAGCCACCCAACCCGGCTGGTACTGTAACCAGGGCCAGAGGTATCCTGCCCCGAATCTCTGCGCTGCTGGATGGTACGACAGAGGCCAGGGGGGAGCTGTCATACCCTCCATGGGAGGCATGTGATGGGGCGAGTTTGTCCGTGAGGAGCTGGACACCGGTGAGGGCGTGTGCAGCAACCTGAACCGCCAGGCCGTCTTCACGGAAATTCCAAACCACAGTACCAACCAGAGGATGATGTAGAGAATGGAGAAGATGACAAAGGCTAGAGGCAGAGCGGCCTTAGAGTACCAATAGCATTGAAGCATCGGAGCAAACAGGCAGGCTCGTGTGGCAAGGAGACAGGCCAGGGCTACACCAGAAACCCCGGCTGGCCAAAAGGCGATGGAGGACTTGACCTTTTTTGCATTTCTTTTTGGACTGCCCTCACTGGTGGACATTCGACGCGATCGCAATGTGGCCGAGCGGTCGCTGGCTCCAGACATAGTCGGAGGAAGCACGGAATGTGTGGTGGCGTTGTTTGTTTGTTTGCGTGTCGGTGGCGGACGCCAGGCCTTGGTCGTGACCGCAATAACACTCGGACCAAGCAGCAGTTCAAGTGGTTTTTTCGACAGCAGACAGAGCTCGGGTGTGGGAACCGGGAAGAGGGCGGAACCCTGGCTTTCACGATCTTCCCCAAACATTTCTGCGGATGTTTGTCTTTGAGACATTAAGTCAAACTCACCGGCCACAATAAGACGTGCGTAGTTATTGACTGCTTGTCGAAACAGGAGTTCCCCCGAGGCATAAAATGCTGCCAGACCGGCAAGTAGGAAGAGGAAACCGACTGTGCTAATCACCACACAAACTCGGGGGTCCACAAGTTGAGAGTCACGTGCAATTACGCTGATTCGGTTTCCGGCGGCATCTATGGTTCCAGCGGTTGTGAGTTTGACAAGCACCTCAATTGCGGCTGCCTCAAGCAAGATGTAACAACCAGTCAAAGCCGTGTATAGTGAGAATATAATTGAGAAGGCCCTGCTCGTGAACCAGAAGGGGGCTGCAAATCGGAGCGTCAAGATCACCAACGAACTAACCAAAATTACAAATTCGATGCTGATTTCGGCGGGCTGGGAGGGAAATGGGAGACTGGGGAAAGAGCTGGAGCTTTGACGGAGAATACCGGCGGAGAGAAAGGGACCTGGAACATCCATTCTATCGGTATGGTCCACTCCGGGGTCGTTGGAGGCGTCTGGTGGCAGTTTTGAGGAGATCTTTGACGGACCTCCGAAACCGTTTAAGAACCAGTCAAGATTGGATTTGTGGGCGAATGCTACAAGGCGAGAACGGTAAAGTCAGGATGATTAAAATGAGTTTGTTCTAAACACAGTATAAAATAGCAACCTACAAGCCTAAGGGTGAAAATCGTCGGTAACGCAAACAACGGATCCAAAGATGAAATTATAGAGTTTTAGTCTTCAATCTGCTTAACACCTGACTGATATGTCCGCTCGTGTATGGTGGGAGCTTACCATTCGGACCTGTGCAACAACGCCAGCGTAAGATATGAACGGATAAAACTAGTTCGCGGACATCTCAGAACCTAATTCTGACTAACTACCGATTTTTCTTGTTTTTTAATGCGCTTGTGCTTATCGTGATTACCCCCAAACGCTGAATCAAAGATACGATTTGCAGGTTATCTGTCTGCAATATTTAGGTTTTGTTTTTTCCTGCAATGGGCTCCTCTGCGTTGTAGTGAGAGGAACAGCCGGAAATGGCAAGTTTTTCAGTCTTCTTTCACAGTACTGACCTTTTTACTTAAGCATACTCTTCAAAAAAGGGATTTCAGGTTAGTCCTTACTTCTACATATAGACTGAAGTATAAACTGAAAATTATTTGAAAACTTTTCAGTATATGTAAGCCTAGAAAAAAATTATTCTACGTACCGGTCTATCTTTGGTGTAGGAAAATGAGAATAAGCTTGAAATAGAAGAGGTTTGACGACGAGAGTTCATGGATTTGGTGCTGCTCTTTCTTGCTTCTTGGTGACGCTGAAATCTTTTGATTTTGCCTTGGTTATAAGGCTTCCGCAATCGTTTACCAATGACACTCTAAACTCCTTGCCAATGTTTTTTTTCTGTTAGTGCTTTCTAGTGTGATAATAACCCAGTTTTAGTCATAACCCTCAATATTCTAGGTGTCAAGGGTTTCTCATATGACCCTCCCCCCGACAGGAAGTGAGAATAGGAAAAACGCGTAATAGAAATGGTTTTGCACTAGATTCCGCAAATAATAGTGCTAGGACTAAGCTTGTTGTTGGGATTAGGTTTCGGGTGAGGTTTAAGGTAAGAGCTACGACTAAGGTTGGGGTTTGCGTTGGAGTTGAGAGGTGGAATAAGGCATTTATCACAAAGCCACGTGCAGTACGGGAGAGTGGCATTCATACTCCCGTAATCCATCGGAAGAGTTACAAAATAAATCATCGACTTCCATTGTCAAGATAGGCTTTCTACGTCAAGTGATGGAATTTCATTTCAGTCAACATCATTTCCTGAGATAATATTTCTGCACTCGAGTCTTTACCCTACTCTTAGTTATTTATGAGTAGCATCATTTCTTAATAAGTATGTTCCACAGGGAAAAATCGAGAAATAGATTGGTGAGTGTGCTGTGGATCCTTCAAGTTTTTATTTATTGTACTAATTGCGCACATCATCTCTGAATGTGAATTATAGCCTAAGGTGTTAATACAAGCAAACATGCGAGTCCCAGGAACCCAGCAGGCCAAAGCCTCGGATCCCCCCCTCGAAATTCTGGGGAGATAGGGGAGATCCGGGGACGAGGACGGGGAGTCTACGGGAGTAAGGACGGGGTTTTCAACCGGCATATCCCCGTCCTCACCCCCGATGAAATTCCGGGGAGGGTATGCATATTATCAAATTATCCGTAAAATAATATTAAATGTCACCTATAAACGCACGATAAGTTCAAAAATAGTCAAAAATGAGTTAGATTGCCTTTAAGGTCCGTCTACAGCATTCTGGAAATTTCAGGTTGGTGAATAATACATACGTCTTAAACATCAACCCTGGATACACCCGCATCCCCCCCCCGTCGTCACCCCCC